TTATAATAACCTGTTAAAATATTTTTGTCGAGGAGAGTGAAAGAAATCACTTTTTGTCTGAGCTAATGAGCCATATACGCAACAGAAATTGAATACGGTACAGCCTTTTGTTTTTCACCGGAAGAAAAGAAGAAACCAGGAAAGTAATATCCGCTCTTCTACCAGCAATTTTGTCAGAGATGATGTAACTTCAGCTGGCAGCAGCTATGAAGGGCATTCAGCTATACTGGTAGCCCAAAGGTATAGCAATAACTAATTGAAAGTCAAAGTTAAAACCTTTTGCACAGCTCATTCCCCTCGAAACGCAAACGCATTTAATGCCAGCTAAAAAAAAACAAACACCGGTTGCCAAGGCTGTCGATGACTCCCTCTCCCGTAGGCTGCTCGACGCAAGATAAAAACACCGTTTCTGACTTTCTGACAATTGCCCGTGGCAATTTACCATCAGAATGAATGAAAAGACAGCTAAGAGATCGTTTTCCCTTTAGGGGAATGGAATCTTGATATTTAGCATGAAGTAGCGGTTTTTATCCCTGCAGCATTTCTGCCAGTGACTGGCTAATCAGAGTATTAAAACAAATTTTGTATCTACAGTACTAAAACTTATTTATTATTACTGCTTTAAATAATACGAATGTTTCCCAGTGTTCTTGCCCAAAGGAATTGCTAAGAATTGTACTTCATCCGCCATGCAGAAACTTTTCAAAATATTCTCTGTTTTACGAAAGTCACAAATCGAAAGCACTCTTTTCTATCAAAATTTTTATGAATTACTTTTAAAAACACCATGCGCTTTTTAAATTATCAGGAATATCGAGACGTTCCAGGTTATCAGTGTGGGTACCCCAATAAATTATTATTGTCCCAGCGATCTTGATATTTTTTAAAAAAAAAGTATTTCGGTTCATCAAGTCGCTACTGATGAAAAATTTTCGATACCTCTGAGAGTAAGGCTGCGACCAGACGAAATAAAAGACCAAAAGTAAGTAAGGTGGAAGTAATCGGGGAGATGAGGAGGGAGCTATTGAATTAATCGACATGCTCACTCACTTACTCATTAGCGTTCCTATGGAAACATTGTCTCGGCCGAAGAAAGCAAATTTATCGCTCCGCGATGCTCTTCGCTCAGCTCCTGCCATTGGGGTGCTTTTTCGAGCGGCACACTATACCATAGACATTGGCAGTGCGGTTACATTGTAAACCAAAAACAAAAAAATCGTAAAAATGTATTCGCCTTACGAGTTGTTATCCATACAGATATTTTTTTCGGTTTGCGTGAATTCCCCGATGAAAACAAATCAACAATAAAGGTTACACAGCTAACCATAAGCAAAAATAATTGGCCAACGCACGTGCTGCCCGTGCGAAGATGCGTTTTTTGCAGAGTTCCCCGCAATTTTTGTCGCTACCGGCATCGGTT